GCCTCTTCGCAGGCTGTCTTTAAAACTCGTCTTAAAACTCACTGGCTTTTCATGCTGTGTAAGTCTTGTCCATTGGGAACAAATTTAATTTTTTATTGAAATTTTCTGGATTTTATTGTAGATTTTAAATGAGGTTTTAGGCATTTTACGGTTTTTATTTCATGTATTTACTTCATTTTTTATTTTATTCCCTGCTTTTATTTTTTCATGTGTTTTTTGATTGCCTTTGTTTGTATGAGCTGTGTTTGAATGTTGATTCTGTACAGCACTTTGGTCTGGTGCAAAACGTGCTTTACAAATAAAGTTGGATTGGAAAACAATATTTCTCTCTGGCCAGTAATACATTTTTGAGCAAATATAAATACAAGTTTAAGGGAATTTGTTATCAGTTTAACGATCATTCAGACCGATATACAAATGCAAAATTTAAAGGAAAAAAAGGATTTTATGAGCTTGATTGAATTTATACCTGCATGCATTCAATTAATTTCTTCATCAGAAGCACAAAAAACTACAATACAATAAATAAATAAATATTACTGAAAAATRTGAAGAAGAACTTACCACATCCAGGATGGCATAGATCATCACATCAAGATAGATTTTTGTTTTGTCTTTGTAATTTAAAGTCGGTCGGCTCATGGTATACAGTTCATTGTCTTTAGTCAGGTTCAAGAAGTTTAAAACATCCATGTAAGTGCAGTTACGTGCTGCAAAAACACAACACAAGTTTTACAATTACCTTAATAGTTTTTATAACACAAACTGGAGAAAGGGAGAGGTGACGTCTACATGAATGAACACAACTTTCTATCACAGTCGGAGATGGTTTTCAACCTGAAAAAGAAAAGCCTTGCTAAAACTATAAAGAAATGGACTCAAAGGGACTAATGCTTATGATTAATATGTTTTAATTTAATTTTGTCCAAAGATAAACAATTTTTAAAAAGAATGTCACATAATTTTTGTATTCCAAAACATTGTTTTATGCATAAATAAAGCAAAGTTGGGTTTTGTGCAACATTACACACTCCTCTGGTGAATTGTCACCTTATTGTGGTAGCGGAGTTTGTTGCCTGAATGATGCTGCTAGGGTTTCCCATGGCAGACTGGTTCTAGGTAACAGGCCAGACAAAGAGTAAAACACTTGTACAGATGAACAAAAAACAAGGAACTCAATGTTGTTTTCCTGAGCATGGGTTACTGGGGTCCCACCCTTGGAGCCAGGCCTGAGGTAAGGGCTCTATTCATAGGACCCGGTCAAACTCAGCCTGAATGAGCAAACAAGGCTCTGGATGTTGTGAGGCTGTCCTGGTTGACATGCCTTTGCAACACCACATGCACATCAGACACAGTGCCACTGGATTGGCAGACTGGGGTGGTGGTTTCCCACTTCAAAAAAGGTGGAGTATAGGGTGTGTTTAACCAGGCAAATCCCTTTGAGATCACAGATCTATTTTCCAAGGGCAGCCTGGGCCTGAAGGCCGCCTACTGTACATGTTTTTGGGGTGTGAGGTAAACTGGAGTAAACCCACGCACGCACGAGGAGAACACAGAAAGACCCCAACTCCAAACCGGGAATCAAACCCAGGACCTTCTTGCTGTGGGACGTTGGTGCTAACCACTGATCCATCATGCTGTTCCAATAACAGAGACATCACTTTCATTAACCTCCCTGGTAAGGTCTATTCAGGGGTGTTGGAGAAACAAGTCCAATCAACGATCAGTCTCATATTCAAAGGAAACGAGGATCCATCCTGGCCGTGGAACACTGGATCAGTTCTTTACCCTCAATAGGGTCTTCGAGGGGGCATAGGAGTTTTCTAATCCAGTCTACATGCATTTAGTGGACTTGGTGAAGGCGTCACTGGTGCTCATATCCAGCAGTTACTGTGTGAAGGGTGGGGTAGACCCTGGACGGGTCGTAAATCCATCACAGGGACACATAAAGACAAACTAGACAAACAACCATTCACTTTCTCACAATTTAGAGTTACCAGTTAGCCTAACATTTAGATTTTAGGTCTGTGGGAGGAAACAGGTAGCCTGGCCCTTGCCTTCCCACGCAGCTCCGCTCAATTCTAGTTTCCCTTCTCTGCTCTGTCTGGCATTTCTCCCATAGACAAGGATTTCGCTGGCAGATTTTTAGCTAAACCAATTAGAGAAAAGAATGTCGATTTTCTGCGCAGTGTCTGCTTGTAGTTTATTTTACCTGGGCCAATCAGCAAACAGAAGGAGGAGTTTTGAATGGTGTCGATTTTCTGCGCAGTGTCTGCTAGTTCGTTTAGCATATGGCAGTGGAGGAAGTGAATGAAGCCAGTCTGTGTTGATAAGGCTTCCAAATTAAATTAAATTTGTCTGACAAAGCAGCAGCTCTCATTCACAGCCGTGTTGTTYGGCTCGGTACTTTTCTCCTCTCAGTAGGGTTGTTTACAGCAGATTTCCGGTTAGCTTCTTAGCTTAGCCTCCTTCACAGCGACATACACACACACGCTTCAGCAGAGGCCACGCCTCCAGCAAGAATCACTTCTCTAGAGCCACGAGTCCAGACCCTCGTATGAAGCAAAGTGAAAGACAAGGGTCTGATTTTTACCAGGCTAGGAAACAGGAGGGACCCGAAGAAAATCCATGCATGCACAGAGAGAACGTCAAAACTCTATCCAGAAATGTCCCCAGGCTGGGATTTGATCTGTCAACCTTCTTGCTGAGAGGCAACAGCTCTACCCCCCCCCCCCATGACCCGTCTCTGGAAAAAGCAGGCGTGGATGGATGGATGAATCAATCGATACACAGATGAATGAATTTTAAAAGCTAAATTCATAAAATATTTGTTCAGTTTCAGCTCTTATTCATTTTTTAAACATATTCAGACAAATCATTTAGACTTACCCTTTTCTTCAGAGCTCATGGAAGTGTTGTTAGAAAAATAAGCTGTAAAATTTCCACCTGTCAGAAAAAAAATTGTGAGTTTACAAGTTTCCTGTTTTGCATCAAACTTTGACAAATGTATACTGATAAAATAGTTCAGTTTACTTTGTGTTTCTCAAATCTCTAAATGTGAAATATGTTCAGAGTAGAAGTCTTCAATATTTTTAAACCACCTCCAGATAAACACAATTTCTGTTAGTATCTTTACTTTAAGGTAGAATTCAATCACATTCAGTAATTCTGTTTCCCTTGGAGTTAGTTTAAAATGTTTTTAAAAACAAGTTCTGCTCATAGGATTTGCACCTGATATTTCTGCAGAGCGATTATTAAACTCCTGTTGATCATAAAGCTCCTGTGACTCTGAACTGGAGGTATTTCCACCTGACAGGAAGAAAACCTTTTTATATTATCCAATATAATGCAGAGGCATGATGAGGATGATATTTCTGCGTTTCCAGCCATATGCATCAAACAGAAAAATGTCAGCTTACCTGTGAGGAGGAGGACTAAAGAAAGTAAAGAAAGAATCATGGTGGAGATGTGAGTGAGCAGCTCTGTCCGCTCTGGTTGTTCTGAAAATGTGTCCTCTGGATTTATAAAACCACCAGAGACAGCCAACACCCYCAGCACTCAGATTTGAGTTGTTTATTGTGGTTTTCAAATGGATTTGTCTTTTCTCATTTCCGATATGTGGTGCTAAGAACCAAGAGAAAAACACAAACTCAGAAAAAAAAATCATTAAATATTTAATCAAACTTACAGTAATTGATCATTCAGGAACAGAAAAAGGCTTCTTTTTTACTTTTACAAGTTCACAAAATAGTTATGTTTGCTTAAAAAGACATAAAACAGCAATAATCTTGGTAAGGTAAACATGTCATTTAGGTAATGAAAACTGCATTAAAATGCTTTTCTTTCACAACATGATTGAAACATATAAAATTAGAAAAGCCCACAATGAGACATGGAGATTTTTTTTGCGTTCCCTCACAAAAGTTGTTTAATGTGCCTGCCAGCTTATTAACAAATTTACATGCTCACTATTATATGAGAGTTAACCTACTTTAATTCAACTTGAACATATCACWGCCACACATGGAAGTAAATAAGTTGCAGATATTACTCTATGCAGCCACACAGTGTTACCATTGATGTCCTGAACCTGTGGTGACAATCCTGTTTCAGTAATCAGATATTTAAAAAACAAAAGACCAATTCTATGCATTTAAGATAAGATAAGATAAGATAAGATAAGATAAGATAAGATAAGATAAGATTAGATAAGATAAGATAGACCTTTATTTGTCACTGTACAGAGCACAATGAAATTATACTTCAGAACACAAGAAGACAGAACATAACAAACATAGGAGAACAGGTGCCCTGGGTCTTGCAGCCACAGACCCTGCACAGAGCAAGGATCATCATCATGAAGACATCATGAGGAGGTGCAACCCTTAAAAGAAAAACTAAAAACCACACAAGGGAAAATGAGGGGGGGAAAAACAAAAACATCATATTATATCAACACTGTGACACACTATGGTGTTTATAAAAAAACCCTCTACATAGAGCACATTTATTAGCCAGAGGAGTAAGTGAGTTTAAGGGGGCGTGTATCTGAAGTCATGAATGTTGTATGCAAACATTAAACTTTTACATGGGAATGCAAAACAATACTGTAAGGGAATGTAAACATTTGTGCTGGATTGCAAAATCAGTCATGTACCACATTACATTATAATCTCACATCTCAGTGCTCAACTGCATATAAGTCTTTAAAGAGCTGAACTTACAATAAATTGCACATTTCAATACATTTTAATTGGCACATCAGAGATTTATTAGTTTCTGTCAGTCTGTCCCATGCAGGACAGCTGTGGCTACAGTGTAGCTTACCATCATCAGTGTGTGAATGCCTATGAATGGGTGAATGTTTGTCAGTGTAAAGTGGTTTGGGGTCCATAGAGACTTGATAAAGAGCAATATTCTGTAAATTCAGGCTACTTAACTTTAAACCATAAGAGCCAAAAATGCAGCAAAAGCAGCTGCATTAGGGCTCTGAGTATTTAGAGCCTGGATGGACCTGCACGCTCATCTATGAGCTCAGGTTTTGAACAAAGCTGTTTCTCATTCTGGTGGTTTTGCACCTGATGCTCTGCTATCTCCTTCCTTGGATCACTTGGGTTGTTACCAACATCTGGTGAAAATTTCATGTCATTAGCACCTCTAGTAATATATTTACTGAGAAAAATGGTGACGTGCTCAATACTTATTTTACCCGTTGTACATTTATAACAGCTGCACAATAAACTACACATTTTAGACCAAATTTCTAGAGACATACAGTAAGTGCCCTTTTATGCAGCTAATAATGTTGCATTATGGGTAATAATTAAGGCCCACATGGAGAAGCCAGAAAGCTTTYAATGAGAGGAAAAAATGACAAGAGGCTTTGTTGCTTGAACAACAGTGTGTAAGTTCATTTTTTATTGTTTTAAGTTCTTCAAGTCATGAATAACAAGACAAATAACWAAACAAATAAAATAGTTGCTCAAAAGCTGCTGATGATTATTTTGTAATAACAATTAATGAGTAATTTTGAGTTCAATCCCATTCAAATAAGACAGATCTTTAGCAGGAGTTTAWAGACGACTTTTTTACGTGTTCCCTTTACTGAAGCCTGAAACACAGAATAAATACAAACTTCTAAATTAGTATATGTGTGTGTGGGGACAATTTTCCCCCCAAAAAAGCACTGCTACGTCCCTACGGGTCCCAATGCAAATTACGGGTGTGGGGTTCGGTTTAGGACCAAGGTTTAGGTTAGTTTTAGGGTCAGGTAAGTACTTGTGAGGTTAATTCTAGGGTAAATGGTCAGGGTTAGGATATAAAGTCTAAAATAACATGAATGGAAGTCAGTGGAAGGTCCTGCTACCGTTTTCAGTTGTCCCCCTCCTACAGTGCTGCTATTGCCAGTATCACTCCACCCCCTGTTAACAATAGGTGTTAATT